TTTAACGCCGTTGCTTACAGGTACCCTTCCCCTTTATAACTTAGGCTGTAGACCTCGCACGGCATTTTCTTGTACTGTGATGTGCCGGAATGGGCCTAAATTGAAAATCAATAAAATAAGCCAAAAAAATAATGGCCGATTCCTATCCCCCATTTATGAGAGAAGAGCGGAAGCAGGAGGGGAACCGGCTATTGTATCAGACATGATCACCCGATCGATTAGACCGACCGACTGACCGTTTCCAACCGTCAATTCCAAAAATTTAATTGTGACCCCCCCCAATCTTCCGCCACCAGCTGCAGGGCAACCGCTGCACTGCCGTAGTCCTCTGATAACCGGTAGATGGTGAATAAATGTCACCCCATTCCAGCTCCCCCCTCCCCTCCCACCATCATCTCCATATCGCACCGGTAGTCAAGTCCACGTTCCGATTAATACTGCCGACGACCAATCCAACCAGTACAAGTATGATACATGTCTAAGAATAAAACCGCATTGCCTGGTGAAACTGAGAGTGGCGCTGGGACAGTCGAGCGGAGTGTGATTCAATGGGCGGGCGATATTTGCGAGAGAGCCGTCCCCCGGAGTCAGATCTTGACGATATTTCGCCGCAGGGTATGAATATTCTATAATATATCATACCAAGGTTTTCCCTCTTTCGAGGGAAAGGATTAGCTGGAGAGGTTCACCCCCGTTCATCAATTGAACCACACGTTATTTGATTGCTCTAATGCCGTTTCGAGCTCAGCCAAATAATGGTGAAACCCAAATACCCCCTTCCCTGCTTTAGAGCGCAGTCCGCAAGGCGCGGGGCGTCTGACATCAACTCTCACCACGAGCAAATGTAACGACGAACCGGCGCCAACGGGGTTTTCGAAGAATGGTAAGGGGAACATTTTGGGAAAAAAGAAGAAGTGAGCACATATAAATTTATGCCAAGGCGATACCTTTTTGTGTATCACCGAGCAAAAAAAAAAAAAAAAAGTAAATAAGAGGGTCAGTTTTTGGCGCCCGGCACTAAATTACTTCACAAGTATCCAGTATGAAGCACTCCCTGCGGTCCTATGGTAGGAATCTCCCGGTGCTCATGTCATTAAGTTCATTAAGCTCATTAAGTTAACGATTCCCACGGCCCGAACACCGACTCGAAGTCGAATGACCGTTATAAATCCCGATCGGGACGTTTCGTTCCGCCTCGCTACCTTGACAGTACTGGTAGTCCAATCACTGATTGGCCGGGAGTACTCGTGTTCGTACCAGCACCGCGCTGCGCCGAGAGCAGAGGGGGGGGTAATACATCTATCATACCGGAGGAGAGGTACGATGTCATATATTTGGTACTATTCCGAACGTTGAAAGGTTTGGTTAATTGAAGTGAAGTGAAGTGAGGGAGGGTTCGAGTTGATGAAGTGGATAACATGCGGCACAATGCCGCGCAGGGATGGGAAGGGTGCACCACAAGGGGGAAGGAGCTGGCACAAGCAGAGCGCATAAGTATTAATTAAACTTGGTAAGCATACGGAGGGAAACAAACAAACGTTAGATATCGCCCGGCAGGTACCCGATAATATCCCGACGCCGCACGGCAACGGTGATGCCGATGGTTCATATTCCGAGTATTTCGGAGTCCGTCGGACGGATACTTGCGACCTCCCCACTGCGAACCAGCACTCACCACGCCATGGATGGGGCAAGGTTGTTCGCTAGTCCTCACTCGATTTTAGTAGATTCCGCTCTGCCCCGTTTCAACGGTTCCAATATATATCCATGAAAAAAGAAGACGGGTATGGACAAGTCCGGGCCAACCTGCCCGCGACCGTTGAGATGAGCGCTAGCGCCGGCACTGCAGTTAAGACCTCGTTCGTTCATTCAGGAAATTGGGTCTGACGTGAAACATTACCAAGACATCACAGATCATTTCACTACCACTCACTCGAAGGGGATAATCACTTCCCTGCCGGAGGGACAATCGCTGCTGGTTATTACCGCTTCTGTTTCCCCAATCGTACAGTAAATGTGGAAGAAAGGGAACCGGGAAACGAACTCTTTCATGTGAAATATCATACCCGGTTCTCGGCTTACCATGCGGTATTTTACCTTCATTTGTTTGCCGCTCTCGCAGTAAATCCGGGATATCTACGGGCTGATACTGTAGTCAGATTGTCCAGAGGATGTTGACAAGAGGAATGTATGATATCTTGCAGTCGAAGAATGCCTTTCTGCTCTCAGGCGCTATTCAGCGTGACCTCAATGTTTAGACTCACATGCCTAAAGGGCCGTGGTTAGGATTGCGAGGTAAACCCAGCGCAGATCTCGCACCTTAGTTGGAACCTTTATCTTTGCTCTCCCCACCATACTCAGCGCAGAGGTAAAGTATTAGGACAGCTCGTTGTCTGTGCGCAATTATTTTATTTAGTCATTTCCATGAACCTTTTATTCAAATCCCACAAACTTAAACCTTTCTCGAAGGTTTGCGTGATTCCGCCACTGATTCACGCCCACGCAAAATCCCCTGTCTGTCCTAATACTTTACCCCTACCCGCGAGTGCTCCTGCCCGGTTGCGTTGAGTCTGCACTGTTGTTGGTGGGTCAGGGGTACCGTACTCGGATACGGTACGGAGGTTAATGATGAGACAGACAGGGATACGGGTGGCCGAAGACATGCGCATGGCGCGGGAATGTGGAGATATGTCCTCGGCCATCCATACCCCTATCCGTCTCATCACTAACCTCCTACCCGAGTACTTGAACATGAATATGGTGGGAGAAGGCGAGGAAAGTGAATTTCGCCCTTCACATAATCAATAACTCACAAACAATAACAAATCGTGGGTTAACAGCCAAATCCCCAATCATCCACCCCAGAAGCCGCAGTACTTGTACTCGTACTCGTACACAAGTTGTGGATTCGAGCTGTGGCTTCGATGACGGCGTGGATAGGGGTGACGAACTCACCCTTCTCGCTTTCTCGCGCCATGGGTTTGCGAAGCGGCCAGGCGAGATACAGTCATCAACGGGGGGGGGGCACCACGAAAACTGGCAGGCGGCGGATAGGGGGTATTTGGCAGGGAAAAGAGTAAATTTATCAAAGGAGGGTACCAAAAAAAAAAAAAACACCTGCTACTGATCCCGGTTCGTCACCCGCCGGTTTTCGTGGTCGCCTCATTGAAGATTGCACCAGCGGCGGCAGAAATCATCTAGATGATCATGGCGCCGCACCCGCCGGTCAGTACTCGAGCACAGTTTTCGGGTGCCATACCGTGGAGCGGGGAGGGGGCGATTGCTTGGGGAAGGCAATGTGAATTGAAGAATGAGACAAACATTTTTCAACAATGGATTCCTGGTTTGCGAAGTAGAAAGGATCCCGGTACCTACTTTTACCATTGTGCTATTAGTTCGGCAAGTGCTATGCGAACAGGCAGAAGAGGAATCGTTGGCTGGCCACTAGCCTAATCCGGAGGCGGCTGTCAATCGCAACAGGAACAATATCTGAAACTGGAAAAGCAGAGAAAGGAATCCGCGTGATGCAAGTGCGGCCTCGGGCTTCTGTAGTTCTTTTCGAGAAGGAGCGCATTGTGTTAGGCCCAGATGGCTGCCATACAAAAGGGGGAAATTTTTTGATGAATTGATTAGGTAGGTAGGTATTGTTTGGAGGCAATTCGACGTGTGTTTGTGGAGTACCGTATTAGGACTTGGATCTTTGAGCACTTGTGCGTCCGGTACCGGTACCGGTATTGCATCGTCCCGATTGGTGGGGTGTGTCCGAATATGCAATCATACTCCAGCTCGGATGGCCAATTTCCCGTAGGAGGAAGAAAAGTGGAAATTTAAAACCTAGGCTCGGTCCCATTCTGGATGAAAGGAGGGTTGGGGGGGGATACATTGGATACCCGTTTTTGTTTTCCTCCACAGAAAGCAAGAAGTGTTCGAAAACAGGGGTCGCAAATCTGTGTGAGTGCTCAGATAGGCAGGGATTTATTGCCCTATTTTGCGAATCCCAGTTTTCGGGCACTTCTTGCCTGCTACACACGAGTAAGAACTCTGGATAGATGCTGTGCAGGGTTGTGCCAGCGTGGCGATAGGTTATGGATGGCGTTTTAGTTTCCTGATTTGAATGTTGGGGTGGAGGACCAATGGTGGTGGGGAGCCCAGAGAGATTGACAAACCGATATTTCTTGGTCAGGGGGTTGATGTGCGGGGAGCAGACTGCAGAGATGAGAATGGTCGGGCTACCGTAGGTGAAAGAATAGGAATTAGGACCAATTTGTGGGCAGTGGAGGTGCGCTATCAAAGCCACCTGGATCACTATTGGTAGATACAAGTACGAGTACAGTACCAGTACAAACTACGGTAGTGGTCCACAGTCATCTAAAAGATGCGGGCACAATTTTACTCGAGTAGAGCTCATTTCGTTCCGCTGGAAGCGGACCACAAGCATGTACTAGTACAGCACTCGTGCTTGTAGAGTACTGTAAGAGCAGTACAATCCAGTGCGGTGATACCTGTGCTATGATAATACTCTATGATAGTAAATTTACAGTATGTACTCGCACAGTAGCCCTGAGAGAGAAAGAACAAAAAAGTGGTCTCCATAGCTTCTTCTTGATTAGGTAGGTTCCGTTCTCAAAGTTAATTCTTGACCAGATATCGGTACTTGCAGCCCGTCTCTTATTCCCTGTTTCCTATGGGTGTGGGTTGGGTTTTGTTTGGGTGTGTGTACTATCGTAGTATAATCCTTTACCGGTAGATGCGTGTGTGCCCTCGTTATGGTGTGTCCCCTTTCTTGTCCCCCAACCAGTATTTCAGTGATTTTTCCTGTCTTTCTCTCCTCCCTCCCTCTTCTTTCCTTTTTCCTCTCCCACCCACTGCCATCCCCACAGTTCTCTTTCTTCCCACACATCCTCTCAATCGCCTTCGTCTTGTGGCTCAGAAAGTGTTCTGACTGTCTCTCTTTTACACGTCCGTCAACACTCTCAGCCCCTTCCATTCCTTCATAAATATCAAATCCCCCGTCCTCGCACAACTTTTTCTTCACTTTAACCTTCCACCTCCCTCACGCTCTTTTAATACCCCCTCGGCTTCAGTGCTTGTTCAATTTCTTAGAAATTCAACCCATCGCACTCGTCTCTCGTTAATAATTTTTTAATAAAACAACCCTTCAACAAAATGCGCTTCCTCACGAGCTCCCTTTTGGCCATTGCCGCTCTTGCAACCTCCGTTTTCGCTGCAGAGAACCCCATCATCAAACCTGATGGATCTGCTCCTCTCGCTGCCGGAGATACAGTTACTATTACCTGGACTCCCACTACTTCTGGGCCAATCACCCTGAAGTTCCGCCAGGGACCTTCCAACGACCTTAAAGACGTGACGACTATTGTTGGTGAGTAACGCTGCAAGCATATGAATTGGGATTGCGCGGGAAGCTAACCATAAACAAACAGCTGGCGCTGATAACAGTGGTTCTTACTCCTGGACTGTCCCTAAGGACACCCCAAGTGGAGCCAACTATGCTATCCAGATTGGTGATGACAAGACTACCGATGTCAACTATACTCCTCTCTTGACCGTCTCGTCTGATGCTCCCAGTTCTGTCAGCAGCAGCTCTACTGCTTCCAGCTCCCACGCTTCTAGCTCCACATCCAGCTCCGCTTCCAGCATTACCACCACCTCCAAGCCCGCGACCACCTCCAAGCCCGCCCACCACAACAGCACCATGGTGACCTCTACCACTTCTGCTTCTAACGGAACCATTAGCGTCCATACCGCATCCTCTAATGGTACCGCCACCCGTAGTACTGTTGAAAGCGGTGGAAAGCCCACCTTACCAGGTTCCTCTGGCCCTTCATCCACTGGGTCGTCACCTCCTGCGTCTACAGCTCCCAGCAGCGGAGCCGTCTCATTGGTGATGAACAGTCCTTTGGCTCTCGTTGTCTGCGTTCTAGGTGCCGTCATGTACTTGAACTAAGCACCCAACCAATCTAACCAATTCGCTATTTACCTCGCGTTTTCTTTCATCTAATATACTTAATCGGAGTGGTAAAAAATTCCTTCCTGTAAGCACACCCTTTCTATCGGAAAGGGTGTGTATCGACTCGGCATTCGAAAAGTGAGGGTTGATTCGGGGGGGGAAGGCGGAATCGAGGGGGATTCGGGATGGGGGGGGGGGGAAATGTCATCTTATCGGATTTCCATCTTTTTGTAAACATATTTTGTTTTACAGGGAGAGACAAAGGCGAACGTCAATATAAGTTGATTTATTTTTCCCATCCTCTTTTCTCCCCATTCGGTCGTATCATAATGTTTTCAATTATTTTTCATTTCATGATGCGGTTTGGGTTGGCGTTTGCTTTTTCTCTGTAACTATTTCGTGATGGATGGTTTGGTGTGCAATTTATTCCCTCTCACAAGGAGGTATTGTTTAGTGGTACCGGTATCATCAATAATTTACGGCGAAATTGGAAGTGCCTGGGGGGGGGACGAGCATGGATGAGGTGAACTCAAATCTTACTGGCCAAAATTGGGAGCGTGTAACCCCCGATGGGCGAAAGTGCAATCTTAGCGCATTCCTTGAAGTGTGGTTCAAGGGTCGAGCGGCGGCGCCGTCTGCAACTCTAACTCGTTGATTTTGGAAGGCATCCTGGAAATAGGGGTATAAAGCATCATTCCTTGGGCATCTTCATCCATAACCTCGGACATTTGACGAGTTGGGAGGGAGGGAGGGTGGGGGTAAGGCAAGGCAATGGGAGCTGCTTTCTCTAGATCTTCGACCCTTTTTAATTGTCAAATTAGTCTAATTAGAACTCAGAAGGACCAACCGGAGCTGGCTCGCCCCACATGGATAGCGAAAAACCTTCGACCATCCCAAAAGCGTACGAAAAAAATCCGCTCGCCAAGACCTGAGCGAAATTCACGAGTCCACCCCTTAAATTCGCGAGCACGTGCGCGTGTTATGCCGGACAACGGCCCTCACAACAACAAACACGAGCACGGCAACAACAACACGAGTTGGGGGGGGAGTGGGCTTAAGCGAGCGCAGCAAGCAGAGATTTGTCACTGCAACAAGTAACTGGGTGAATTTACAGTAATTGCAGTACGGTAATTTACTTGTGTATGTTGGGTGGACGGACGAGCATGGGTGTTTTGGAATCCCGTCCTTGTTATTGGTTGCTTTGTTTGAGTTCTGTGTGGTACTGGTATTAGACTATGGTGTCGTGCCGTGACCGTTTACTTTTACCTTTTGTCATCGGTTATTTGCACTGCGGTAGGCTGCTGCTGCCTGCACTCGTGCTAGGCAGGTTGGGCGAAAGCATCCTCTTCCCCTCCATCGTCGAGCTGAACTCTCTCTCTCCTTCCTACCACTAACATCGCGTCCCAACCGGCAACTGGACTACTCGAGTACTGTACTCGTACTGTACTAGTACACACAAATAGTTTAAGACTCACTTTTCCCTACGCTACTGTGCTCGATACACACTTTTTTTTTTTTCTTTGAAAAATAAGTTTTGCTAAATCCGTCCACGGCTGAAAAAAAAAAAAAAAAAAGAAGAAGGGTTTGTGGTGCGGATAAGGTTTTGTGGAGAGCTGTTTTACCCTTTTTTTCCGTGGAGTAGGGGGGTTATTTTTGGTTTTCGATTTCTTTGTCCTTTTATTGCACTTTATCGTCTGCACTTTGTGGAGTTATCGGTACCGGTTACAATTCTACTACTGTTCTGGGATTGCCTGAACTCGTGATTTGTCGTGACGTTTTTGTCATATCATAAACCTGTAAATGAGGGACTGCTCTTGCATACCATCACCAAGATTCTGTGGAGGGGGTTCTGGCCGGTTTCTGATTGCGTGTGGTGGTGGTAATAGTAGATTAATCCGATCGTTGTTGTGGTTGGACGGTGGGTTGGGGGTATTGCCCTTTTTTTGTTTCCTGCGTGGATTCGTGAGGAAGTGTAGGTATGAGATGGTCCGCGACAATCCACCTGGTCCGCCCGACTGTGGTGTGTAGAATACAGTACGAGTATGATACAGTACTCATTCTACCCTGTTCTGCCATCGACTTTTGCAAAAGTGACTGGTGTACAATACTTGCACTTTCAATCCCACTTCTTTACTTATCACCATTGCAAGTTGTTGTCTGATGTCGTGTCTTTTCACTTTTTTCCAGCTCAATTGTCGGAGTCGACTGACTGACTGACTGACTGACTACCTTGTCATACATAACCGGCTGGCCGGGGAGGGATGGAAGTCTCGCTGCGTGGTACAAGTACCGTGGAGGAAGGCGTGTATTGAGTCATTAGGCTGTTGTGTGTAACACTTGGTATGTCGCACCGGAATGTTGTGGCTGGATGGATGAATGGAGGAGAGGGGTGCGGTGTACTGATGCAGTAGTACCGTACTTGCTGGTTGCGTGGACCATGTTTGCATAGATAGATTGAACAGGGTATTTTTTTCCTCCGATAAAGTTGACAGCATCATAACCACTGGTGCTCGAGTGCCGATATTGTCAAGTTAGCGGGGTGCGTGGTGCAGGATTGGGGCTATGGTTTGGGCTGAGTAAGGTTGATTGGTATGATGGTATGACCAGCGGAGGAGGAGTTCTTGATATGTACAGTACTCTATTGTGGTGTTGGTACTGATCGTTTACAGAGAACATTGGACTACTACTGTCCCGGTCGGTACCCCAGCGATGGACAAGAAGGGTAGAATTCTCGAGGTGAGTTTGGGATTGGATCGAATCAAATTGGAATGTTGCGAATGGTCATGAACGAGTGATCACTGTACTCTACCAGTAACCGGTATTCGCCTGACTCTCGCCAGCGGTAAACACCGGTATGAATGATTTTCTAGTACTGTACAGTACATCCCTTGAAGTGAATGAGGGACAAGTTTCAGACCAGTCACCTGGCCCCGCGAATGTTAACAGCAGGGACAGGACAACCTCTTGCGAATATCGTAAATTTTCTCTTGAACAGGAAAAAAAACGAAAAGTGCGCACGGACCAGATGGAAAGTTTGGCCAGTGTCGGTACGTATCGATTGGTCGTGGTTGATGTCGTTGTGGATCGGTATGCTGATTGCGGTGGTATGCTATCGATAGACTAACTAATCACGGTACTAAGTACGGTTGGGTGGCATCGAGCTAACAAAGTGCACAGCCTCGAGATGGGTTGGTACCGGCATTTTTCTGGTGCTATCATCTCGTAGTACGGGAACTCCGCGGCGCAAGCTCGGACTGCGGAAGTGGACGACCGTTGACATTACTGCGGTACGTGCGTGCCTACTGCGCATACCGCCAGTGCTCGAGTACTCGTACTCCGTATACATAATTCGACGGCATTTGTGGACATGTCCACTACGCGTGGCACCGAAATCTGGGCGAAGGAGATGAATTTTGGCGGTGGAGGTATAGTGGCTGACGGTGTTCACAAACATTGTTCAAGTATATATAAATACATGCTCGTCCTAAGCAAAGGAGCACCCAAACGGGTGTCCCCCGCCTTGGGCGATTGCGAATAGGTGTGCATAGACCCGCCACCCCACACTCCCGAGGACGCACCCCACAAACGGGGCACCCCGCCAACAACCTCTGTATCGGAGAGAATTCCAAGGGTTGGTGACACGCCAGTAAATTGGAATTTCCGCAGAACAATTGCGAGAGGTGATACTGGTAGTGTTGCACGCGCATGATTTTCCATTTCTTTGTGTTTCTCTGGGAGTTCTTGGGTCCTTGTTACTACGAGTAGTATACTAGGGCATTGCTCTTGCCAAGACAGATAGGGGTGGCAGTGCCTTCTTGATCTCGTCTCTTTGTTCTCTGTTCTGGGTGTTTTGAGCTATCGAGGAAATTCCTTAACACTGTCGAGCCCGGGGTGGGGTAGTGGGAGGTTGTGCGTGGCGGGGTGGATCTGATAGTGGGGGAGCTCAGCCGTGCTTAGCGCGTTGGAAAGGTGGCGGGGGTCGAGGATTACTAGTGTTGTAGGGCACTCTATATTTGCGAAGGTGTTGATTCGGCAGTTTTGATCACCTTTTTTCGGTATCATAATATATCATACCTGGTGGAGCGGTGGAGCGGGGGAGCGGTGCGGGGTTTGGGGTTGGGAGCGGGCATCCTGGATGGACGAAATTTCCGGCCCTAGTACTTAGATAACATTGTTAGTCCATGAAGTGATTGCTACTGATGTGTAACTTGTCGATGATAGGAGGGTGGAGCTTCCGCTAACAGTTTGCTATCTTTTTTCTTTTTGTTTTGCCGGAAGGGGTACCTATATCTGGCAACTTGGCCAATAGAAGGTGTTTACGGGTTTCACTCTTCTACCTGTGTTGATTGATTACTTGGTTGGGCTTTGCTAATTGGACCGTTACATCTTGACCTGTGTGTGAGGGGAGGGGCGACACCTTGGATCGATTATTCTGTGAGCGTTGGAGGGTGTTGGGATAGTGCTTGGTGTATAAATTTGGTATCGCCGCTCGGGCATAACCTTTGATATTGGAACTCGGTGCGCAGAATTACAAGAGAGAGGGAGCACGCGTGTGTGGGTAGAGGGAAATGTGGGTTACCGGGAAGAGGGTTGAGCCTGGAAGGGCCCTAACGACATGTGCCTAGTCTTAGCCGAGTAATACCCGACGGGCGGATGCGGCATGGGGGGGTCTTTTTATTCTCGTAGTGTATGTATGGCAACGAGACGTCAGGATTGGTGGGTTTTGATGCGTGATAACCGCAGAGAAAGCGGCGTTGTGTTGGAGAGGTATGGTTCGTGCAGCCCAAAACGTACTTGTACACCAGCAATTGTCATTTTTAAACGATTACACCTCTCTACTAAGATATAATATTACTTCAAAAAAAAACCACTACGGTCTTGGGAATACTAAATAGAATAATGTAGTATTTTTTTAAGGTAATTACAGGTCTTGATAGTGAGATATAATCAATTGACGAGTTGTAGCCTGGTTCACATTTTGGATTGCACGAACTATACTGTTAGACACAGTAGAAATGGTGCCGAGAGGGGCGTTGCTCATAAGATACGGGAGAAGCCTGGGGGGGCTTATATACGTGAGGGGGACCTACTCTACACCTCTCATATTGAGACCACATCCTCTGATCCTGATTGGTAGCGTGGCAATCTACGAGTCTGATAGTATATTACGACCTGTCTGGCTAATTCAGTGTTCTCAGGCATACAGGGCAGCATGGGTAAGTTGGCGTGGTATGGCGTCCGTCTTTTATAGAAACAGAGGCACTGTGTAGGGTTTGACACTCGGGCCCTGTAGTCTTGTACCATACAAATGGCATCTTCCGGAAGTCGTCTACAAGGCCCGGCCCTTACCTACACGGCTCGGCCATTACCTACGCGGCCCGGCCATTGCCCGCATTTCCCGGCCATCACCAACACGTCCCGGCCCTCACCAACACGGCCCGGCCATCACCTACTTGGTCCGGCCATCACCTGCCGTCACCTGTAGGAACCCGGCACATCCCAGATGTTGAGAAACCTGCAGGGCCCACCCTTCCGCCTCGGGCATCCGCCCATACACTACCATCGGTCCCGTCTGCTCCCGGAGACGGGCGGGCTGGGCCCTTGCGTTCACTGCTTACTACCGCATTGCCTGCCAAAATCGCAGCCGCATCTGATGCCCCCAAAATACGTAGGGGGTTATTGGTATGTACGTCTTATTGCTTGCTTTATCAAGAATTTGAGGGGAAATTTATGTTCATTGGGTTTTGGGCTTATTGTATGATTCATAGATTGTCACTCGAAAATTTAATGTTTGTACACGGTGACGCCTTGCTGTGCTTTCTTTATGAGAGGGCCATTGGGGTTCCTGTGTGTTTGTATCATATTGCCAAGCTTCCGGCCGGCAATTTTTTCATTCAGTACGCGGTAACTCTGGGAATGGGATTGGGGAGCCCCCGAGGGTAAACCCTGGATTTCCTGGATGAAAATTATTCACTGAACCCGAACACCCTGAAACCCTTCGCATGATGGCGCCTATCTCACTGCCCACCCTTTCTCAATTTCCCCCTTCATCCAAAACTCCATCAACACTACTCCCCACATCCACATCCATTAGAAAAAAAAAAAAAAAAAAAAAAGCTTAGCAACAGAAGAGTAGGGAAGATGGATCCCGAGAGTGGCAACTCGAACCCCCCTCCAATCACCTCCCCTCTACCAAAACCCCGCAAAAGGTCCCACAGTGGCAGTTCCGCTCGCGGACCAACATGGGGAATTTGGGTGCTCTTCGCATTCTATTCTCTGATCATTCTTGGAGTTGGTATAATACTCGGTTCATTCGTCAAGCCCAGTACCGGAAAGCGCCCACCCATTCTTCGTCGCAGTCCTTTTTACTGTTTGTCCCCCCCTCTTACAAAAGTGTTCACTCTCTTGCTAATAGTGAGGTGTTTCCGCAGCGCCAATTACCCCGATCTCCGATAACCGGCGTATCCTACCCACTCCGAATATGATGTACTTTGGCCCTCCGACTAAGGAGAATAATGATGCCTGGGAGAATATCTGCGGAGAGGGTGATGGGATAGTGGGGATTAGCGACAAGAGGGTCTTGAGGAACTTGCCGCGGTCGCTGAAGGGTGGAAAGGAAGGAGAATATGTTTACGGAATTGGAGTTTGTCGTCAGCTACACTGTCTCGTGAGTTTGCTCTTAT